AAGAAAGTAATCTAGAACAAAGAAATTTGTTATTATTTTTGATTATAATTAACAAAATGAAGTGTTAAAATTATAAATCTATTATCATACATCTAAAGAAAAAAACTCACAAACATATATATTTTTAATGTCGATATATAATATCGAAAAACTGGTATCTCAGTTTTTGAGATTATCGAATGAATTTAACCCAGAAACCTTATGTAAATCCAGACAGGTAAAATTGAATAAAGGATTGTTATTGATGTTAAGAATGGCATAAATTTTTGGGTTTGTCTTATTTATGAGACCATGAACTACCAGCACTTAATACCTGAACTAAAGACAGTTAAATATTTAATAGTTAAATATTATAAAGATAGTTACATATCTTTATAGATGATGGTGATATAGCTCTAGTATTGTAGCTCCAGTTTTTTGAACTCAATCAATAACTGAAAGTCTGGACACTAAATTAAGATTGATAAAGTATATAATATCCGTATTTATTAGTAAGAAAGTATTTAAATTTCTTCTCTCCATCGATCAACAGGCTGGAATCCTGCAGTTCCAGTTTGTTGAACTCAATTAGTGATTAGAAGTCTGGATACTAAATTAAGATTGATAAAGTATATAATATCCGTGTTTATCAGTAAGAAAGTATTTAAATTTCTCTTCTCCATCGATTGACAGGCTGGAGTCCTGCAATTCCAGTTTGTTGAACTTAATTAGTGACTGGAAGTCTGGACACTAAGTTAAGATTGATAAAGTGTATCATATCCGTGTATATCAGTAATAAAGTAGTTAATATTCTCCTCTCCATCGATCAACAAGCTTTTAATAAATTTAATAAAAAAATAAATGTAAATATAAACTGAAAATTTATTTCAAATTTTAAATACTAACATTTTTTTAATCCCTTAATAGTCCTATAATATTTGTTGATATTATATCCGCATTCAAATAATTCAAAATAGTGTACAAAAAATAATTCAGGAAAATTGTGAAAACTTTTTCATGGAAACATCCATTTTTTAATAGTGAATTTTTATATGCAAATTTGTGTGGAAAATTAACATAAAATGGCATTTTGCTTATCGCTCCGGGCTGGTAGCCATTTTAACATTCATGCACATTTGTAAACCAAAGGAAAAATCATATATCTTCGACTGCGAGAGAAAGGAATATGCTTGGGAAGCCATTTACAAATGGAAACATTTCACACTTTCACAACGGCAACCGAAGGATATTCCAACTGCATTTGAATATGCACGTAAACAATTTACAAACGTGCATGGAAATGCTAATATTTGCTTCCCAAAAAACCGAAAGGACCAAGAACTTATAGCCAAAAATGCTTACTGAAATATTTATTCTAATATAAAAAAGCATTAACCGTGGCGAATTGAAAATGCATTATTATTACACAAAAAACTGAAATTTAAACGTTTTATACATACAATGTACTTAGAAAGCTAACAATAGAGTTTGTTGTATTCTTTAAGTGGGTCCTTAATGCATTAAATTTTTTAAGTCTCTATTAAAAATTTAAATAATAACTTAGAAATCTTACCATCTATTTATAGATTGGCAGTTAAGATGCAGTTAAGATACTTAATTACCGATTTAGTTGATGTTGGCGAAATTTTAAAGTTCTAGACCACGTTAAGTAACACCCGCTAACCAAGCAACACCCGCCAATTAAAGCAAACCTGCAGTTCGTGTGCTTACTGGAGTATTGACGGGGCACTGTGCTATTGCTCCTATGCTCCAATGATCTCGAGTTATTGGATCTCCTTAACTTCATCTAGAAAACCAAATGGTTTAACAAGGATAGCAACTCGCCTCTCCCGGCAAAATTTTTCAAGGGCATCACAATGAGCAATATATACCTCAGAGTGGAAGCGCCTTCCGAACCTAACCTAACCTATCGCCAATTGATGTTGTTGTTGTGAAACGAGTATAACTACATATCGGAAGACATGGAACAAATTCAAAATACGTATACATGGGTTAGAAAATAGAATGTGTAGCAAGTGAGTAAAAGGAAAATGTATTCTGTGGGAGAAGCAATATATGAAACTGCTCAAATATGTGAATTCGCGGTATAAATGTTTTCTCTTCTCTAGCTGATCTCTTTTCATTTCCAAAATTTTGATGTTAATTTTCCCAAATCTATAGCACATCACACCTTCTCTTTTGCTCTTGAAGCGAAGAAAAGTCCCCATATACTTCATCCTTAATAACTTTCATTTACTTTGAGCACTTTGTAAATTTCAATTCGAGTTAAATCTTATTCATTACCTTTTCATCAGGATCAAGTACCTCAATAAGAGAATGGTAACGTTACTGGAAACAATCACATTCCGTAGTCAGATTTATTTTTAACAATTAGCTAACTACTCGTTTTCCAGCTTTCCTAATCGTTTTCAGCTTTAATGTTGATTCCACCAAAATCATAACATACCATATCATCGCTTTTCATTATTCAAAGATAATATTTAAAAATTATAAAGATTAATATAAATATAAAGATTATTATAAAGAGATGAACGTTTCACACAGTACCTTTTTCTATCTTAATCATCTATTTATGTATTGATTATCAGATAAAATATATTTCGCATTTGAAGGAACTTCTCCTATTAAAAGATATGGTATGTCTTACAAGTCAATTGTTTTCAACCAGAGGCATACTTAGGATTCTCAAAGTTTAGTAGTACTCTTTTGATTATTCAAAATAAATTAATGGGTATAGAAATAGAAAAAAATTTCAAAAAAATTATATCTCTTATTCAATGTTTATTAACAATTACTTTTTTATTCTTTACAGTTTTCGATATGTTCTGAAAAAGCTTGGTATCGAATATTAAAATATATATGAAACAAAAAGATGGAATTTAAATTTAAGTTTTCTGTAACAAAGATAAAGAAAGCAATTCATAAATTTTATACTTAATAACTATATAATATTTATACGTACAAACATTACAACAACAAAGAACATCTAGATACGTAACAATTTTTAAACCATTTTAAGACAATGAAAATAATTGGTAAAAAATACATTAGTAAGAACAGAGTATTTTGCTAAAATATATTTGTCTATAATACTTAGATAAGTACAGTTATAAATTTATATATGTACTTGTGTTCTACTTATGTGCTTATATCATATATATATGATTCTATTTCCATATTGTAGTTTAAAAATGGTTTTTAAAAATGTTATAAAAATCTTAATGTCAGATATGATGGTAAAAAATAATTCGATTGAAATAAAGCAAGCACTGAAACTATATACATAGTTAATGAAGAAATATTATAGATAGATTCACTTCCTTGGTACTATGACAGAAAAATTTTGCAAGTAAAAGAGTTTATAACCGGCGACATCAGATTATTCCATGTATTCGTAATGTTGTCTATAATAGGTAGAGAGTTGTCCATATATATATAAACTCTTTAATATTGTCTGTTGTAGTCAGCCGTTTGAAGTACCAAAAACGAACGTCCTAAAAGCATGTAAAAAAAATTAATTAAACATAATAATTAAAAACATAGAACAACAAAGTTAAAAACTAAAGATAATATATAGTATAAGCGCTCTTAAATGGACATCTACGAGACTAGCAGTTCAATCCTATTTTCAAAAAGATTACTTGACCGCAATGCGGAAACCGGCTCTAAAACGTGGAAATTAACGGTTTAGCTCATCTACAACTCTGTTCTTGCGTCAATTATCTAGAATATCATATACGATGGTGTTCTTGGAATCAAAAAGCCAGAAAGATTTGACTTAATTGGGTATGCAAATGATATTGCAATAGAGATAATTATTAAAACTCTAAATAAAGAAGTTGGAGAATCTTAGCAACAAAACAACAGATTGGAGCTTGTTGATCACAAAGCAGAGGTACTTTTAATGAGCAGTAGAAAAAATCAATTAAAACTGGCGGTAGTGAAATAAATTCTGGGCTACAATTTACATATATCATCCTAGGTATATTGTAAATACATTTGAACTTATTCGAAAATAAGTTCTCTACATTCTACAAGATGATATCCCGATTAATGCCAAACATATGAGGCCAAACAGAGATGCTTCACGAATGCTTTTGGCTTCATTTTCAAAATCAGTTATATTGTGTGATTATAGACTGTCAAAACTTCGCATTTATCGGACATACTGTAGAGTTTGGAGCGAAGCTGCGGAAGTGCTGACCGAACATTTTCTAGTAGATCTAGAAGCGCTTGCTGTAGGCGATTGGTTTTTCTGCGTTCACCCACATACAATCATTGTCAATTCCTTATCTAGAAATCAGGGACAAGATTGACACATTTCATTCATAAAGATAAATCGAGTAATCGAAGATCTGGAATTATTATTACCACAATTTCTAATTGGACATGAATGTTTTTGTGATTAACTCGTATAAATTTGCAAGAATTTTTAGCTGCGGCTTTTAACTTAAGAGCGTATACGATTTGTAGATCCAGAAACTTCAATCGACGAAGAAAGCCCTTCTTACATCCAAAAGCAGATGAATACAACCTTTGAAGAGTGGAACTTACACAAGGTTTATCATCTTTGGAATAATAAACACGATCTAATTATGAAATCTAAAGAATTTAAAAGATCTGAAGCATGATTATTAGCCCTGTAAAGATATAGGTACCCTTAAAGGTCCTACTACAGCTCTCTATTTCGATGTTGAGTGTGTGAGAATTTATATGTCTATGGACTATAGACATAGAAATTTTTTTCTTCCAGTTTCGGTACAAAAAAATTCTAATTTTTATAAAAATTGAAAACTTTCGACTAACGACATTGCACTGTTAGAAGATATGTCCATTTAATAGAGCTTTAACTGTAATCCTAATAACATAAATTTATTAATAAAATTATAAATGCAATAAAAATGCACACATATTTATATAATTAGCATTTAAATTCTTTAATATAATTATATATATATATATATGTATACATATATATAAATAAAATAATTATTTATAAATATAACCAATTTTTAAATGAACTTTGTTTGTTTACTTTAAAAAATATATCTTTGAAGGTTGAGTTCAATTAATGAACAAGAATATTTTAATTAGTAATAGAATGAATAGTAAACATAGAAAATTGGCAGAATATTGTTTTTTTTTTAATTTAACAGTTTTTTTTGTTTTTGGTATATAGTGAACCTTACATTTTATGCCCTAAGATCCTTGAGGTTTGATTTTAATTTAACATATTCAAAATAAAATCAACTCTCATATTTTATATGCAGCTCGACAAAAATGCAACTTAAATTACACTACACAATTTTGTATCCAACATGTATTTTACAAGGACTATTTATTGTAGTATCCATATGCACAATACTTAAAACAGGGAGCAACATAACAACAATTGTCATTATCATCGTCAACATCATTTATTCTAATCTTCACTGCAAACAAACCCATTTCATGTTTTCCAAAGAACATTTTAATTAATTTCAGAAACTTTGCAAGATTTGCTCAGCAATTAGTCAAATCTGCACAAATGTACGATGCCATGCACTTCAAGAGATATACAGGGATATGCACATAAATCTGTGTCTATATGTGATGTGAGATACTCGTACACAACAATGTCTATGACTACAAACAGAAAAAAAATGTAACTAAAACAAAAATTTTCATTCTCAAAGATTGTAAAATTTTTGGTTTCTCTAGTTGAACTGACGTTTAGACTAAGCGTAAAGTGTTTTTTGGGTTTTATTTGTAGAGTTTAAGGGTCACGTTTCATATTGCAACCCTTAATAAATGAGTTTGGGAAGGAATTACTTGCAGTTTCTTTGCATGCTTCACTCTAAAATATCAACAGCTTAAAACTTTAAATTGGATCTATTAATACCTTTCTTTTTTTATTTTATATATGACAGATTAGTTAGTATTTAATAGACGTCAGTTCATTTAATGGATGGCAGCTTAGAGAATTAAGATTCTATTTTATATTAAAAATGATTGAAAAATAAACAAAAAAAAGTGGAATATGCATATAAACTCGAGTCGTGGCCACCTTTATCATTTATTGATCATTTTTATATGAAAATTAATCATAATAATATAAATTTAATTATAATAAAAAAATATATAAAAAAATAATTTTTTCAAAAAATTTATAAAATTATAGTTAAGTATAATTTTTATAATTCTATAAAATCATATATTAATATGTATTAATAAATAATTTTTTGGATCAATATAGAATTATTGAATTTTGCTATTTAATATAAATATATTAATAATTTTGTAGTAATTATAAATTATATATAAATTATTATTTGCAACACTTCACTCATATTTCCATATATAGTATAATAACTTCATATATAGCTTCATATATAACTTGATATATTTCTGGGGTATATTTACTTAGCATTATCCACAAAATTTTGTATTTTTGTTATTTAAAAATTGTTAAGTAGACTTCCAATAGATTTTAATTTAAATACTACTGTCAATATATAAATAAAGGCATTTACTTACTGTGTAATAGTATCCTTATTGGAAATAAATTTATTCATTTACTGCTTCTATTCAATATATTGTTGTATGATGTTGTACATATTTTTTTTTGTTTTTTTTTTAATTTTTTTGCATATTCTTATGTTCCTAGAAGGTAACCTAGAAGTGTAAATTTTTATAATTTACATATAATAATTTTTTAATTTTTAATAATTTAACTATTTGGCATAATTTGTTAGTTTAAAAAGGATTGTTCGTTTTATGAATCTCATTTAGTAGGAAGATATTTAAATATACGTGCAATAGAATAGAAGTCTACAACTTTTTTAATTCGGATAAATTTCAAGTTGTCGTTTATATATACATATATCAATCTCTACATAAGTTCGGTTAAGATTATAAGTTTGATTTCATATCCTTTAGCTTTTAAAGTCAAATAAGTTTTCTAAAACAAAAATTCTTTAAAATGATATTTTTTAATAATATATTCGTAACGAATATTTGTAGGTTATAACCCGGTTAGCCTAACCTAACCTAACTTAACCTAATCTAACCTAACCTAACCTAACCTAACCTAACCTAACCTAACCTAACCTAACCTAACCTAACCTAACCTAACCTAACCTAACCCAAACTAACCTAACCTAACCTAACCTAACCTAACCTAACCTAACCTAATTTAACCTAACCTAACCTAACCTAACCTAACCTAACCTAACCTAACCTAACCTAACCTAACCTAACCTAACCTAACCTAACCTAACCCGGTTTCCATACTAAATGTGGACCTGCACCTACGAGCTTTCTTTAATTTTTCGAGCGAAATAAGAATAATAAAACATTTGAGAATTGCTCCATGCAGAATATGCAAAACAGTTTAAAATACCCGTAGTGCAGCATTTCGCCACTGACAAGGAGCAGTAGAAGAAAATTTTTGATGCAAGGATTCGTATATTTGCTCGAACTTGTTTAGAATGTCGTTGGAGAAAGAAAAACTTTTGGCTCTTCTTTTTTTTTTTTGAAAAAAAAATCTTTAATGAATATTCATTTTATCAGAGCAAAACTTTTTTTAAAAAAATTTTTTTTTATGTTTTAAAGTTATTCCGAATAAAAGGACAATTAAAACATTATAGATAGAATAATAAATAAATTTGCATGCAAAGAAAATCATAAAAATTTACTTACATTTGAGTATTTTTTTTTTTGTTTATTATATTATAAAGCCATAAACACCTTCCATTACTCAGTTTAGTTGGAAAAAATCAGGTGACAATGATTTTCCTCAGTACTTATGGCTATAAAAGCTAACATGTTAATAATAATAAATTAATAATTTTATAGTTACTTTACCTTGAGTGTAAGTTATGAATCTGAATTTGATTGGAGCCCATCGCACCATTCGCAGTAAACGTCTATGGGCTCGCTCAAGTAATTAATTTTTACCTGATGGGTGACGTTACAAATGTGGCAACTTAATATAGCCCTGTTCAACTGTTTGCGCCTATATTGATAGAATATAAAATTAAGTATACATTACGCACATATTTGGTTATAGTAACCAATATGTTTAATAAAAAAAATTAAAAAACGTTGTTAGTACACACATATCGATGGACACTGATTTTTGCCCATTACATATCGCACAGTTAAAATACTTATCCAGCTTAATTTTTCGCTTTTGCTGGAATTTCTTTTTCTTCAGGCAAAATCCTTTAGCCATTATATATTCTTAGTAGCACAAGAAAAACACTAGAAATATAAAAAACCTTCTGCACGACGAAATGAACTCGTGCTTTTAGAATTTAAGTCCCAATATATCGGCAGAGTTGCAACCAACTATGATATTGGATTTAAATGTTACACCTCAAGAAAAATGTTATTCAAAAATGAAATAAAAGCAAAGCTATGTAGTATGTATAATAAATATTCTAATTAATTCTTGACACAGAACGCATAGTCTAAATAGTTACATATTATAATTCAAGAATTACAAATATATATATTTATATATATTAAACTCATGTTGATGACGAACTCAATAATCGATGAAGACTACCAATTAAAATAAATTAATAATAATAATTTATTTCTTTAATAGGATATATTGGATTGGATAAAACAATATCACTTACAAAGGTATTAACGCTAATTTCTAGAATCGATCATGTTTGTATTAATTTAGATATAGACAAAGAAAAGTACAGGTAAAAACCTTTGCTTCAAAAGTAAACACAGTTCATGGAAGTATAAACTTTTATACTAACAAACATGAACTAACAAACATCTTAAGAGGTACCAAATGCCATCTTAAGAATTGAACATAACTGATATTTTAGAGATATTATGGTCAACCCTCAGATATATGGATTTTTATCTTTAAAAATACATGGTAAAAATAGAGACTTAAAAAGTGAATACTAATTTTTTAAACTTCACTGCAGTATTAGGTAGTGATAGAAGTAATATGTCGCAACTGGTAGAAGTACAAATTTTCACATTAAAAAGTTTATGCAATGGTATAAATGCCCACTTCATAAATCACTAAAGGCTTAGACCTTACTCAGCTTGGTTACTTCTCTACAAAATGTCGTTAATGAGTCGTTGCTGACGACAACTCCCTAGTAAGGTTATTATAGTATATAAACTAGTTGCTATAAAATTGTTTGTGTCAAGGTATTAAAGCTTTTGTTTAGTGCTAAATATAGTGTATCTGCCATTTTGACACATTTCATTTGGGGATTTCATATTTATTAATAATAATTTATTCAATATGATGAATATAATGAATTATTCAATATGAAAATAAGGCAATTTAATTATTATATTATATTGGCTCAGCTATTTATCCAATAGCCAATAGAATAGGGGCATAGTTCTGTTTAATGGTTATTTATTGAACGTAGCTTTTAGTGGAAAATGCAACTCTTGTAATGACAATATATATGTTTTTACTTTAAAGCATTGACCATATTCAGGACATATTCAGGATTGAATAAAAAAATTTTTATATTCAAACTATGAAGACATATTTCTACAATGTCTAAATTTTGTAGAACCTATTTTTTATATGGAGCTATATGGAATCAAATTTTAATGCGAATAGGATGTATTAAGCATAACATCTCTATAATAACTGGCCATAAAGTTTTCTATTTCCATGTTCAAAAAATATTTTAGTTCTGAATGCATTTTAAAAACCTAATTTCATAATTTTCTATTAAATATGTATAGTTTAGGACAATACGGATATAGCCGAAATAGCTAGCAAATCATATACAGCAAATATTTTCTTATTAGAATAAGAAATTCTGTCAAACAAACACACCATCAAACCAAAATGCGTTTTACGACGCAAACAATTAATAAATGGCAGGTGTTGCACTGAAGAAATTAACATCCCTGCTTTTTCACATATTGAAAAGTGCGACCATTATTTTACTTAAATAAATAATATAAAGTGTTTTGACCTGTAAAAAATCTATCACTACTCATACAAATTTAATATATATAGTATATAAATAAATCAATATATACTGCAGCTATTATCTTTGTCTTCTAGCGTCTTTTCATTTTATTGCTTAATCCTGTTTTCTTAGTAGTAATTGGTGAGTATATGATTATAACATTAACATTAAGTAATAGATATTGATAAATTCATTATTTGTCTATAAAGTTGAACCAACTATTAACAAAAAAATGGAGAATTTTAAAGTAGAGCACATCGATTTTTACGATATGCCATTTGTAAAAAAAGTTTGGGTTTTAGCAAACACACGCCAATTTGATTTCATTAGGTGGACCCATGATGAAACTGGCATCACAATAAATATATATGAGCTAGCGGATTTTTTAAATTCCCCGCATTCATTATTGGATACTCGAACCCCGGTCGTATTTATAAAACAGTTGCTCTTACACAATTTTATGATAATACCAGACACCACACTAAACAGTAACTATGCAACTTTCAAGAATGACAATTTCACTAAGGATGGATTTTATCTTCATTTAATTAAACCTTCAAAAATTAATGTAAATCAGAATGAGATTCTAAAGTACCAGATATATTGCGAACAAACTTTTGGTATGTGTCCAATATGTATTACCGTCGGAATAGTTAAAAGTGGTGTTATTTCGAAAGACGGAGCATTTGGTGCTTCAAAAGCGCAATTTAAATATTTCATTGGAGAGTTTTTTACACCCAATGATTCAGAAATACAAATGACCGTTTTGAGAAGTGAAGGGTTCGTATAAATGATTATTATTTAAATTTAAATTAAATGCATCTTTAATATTTTTTATCTTAAATAAATTTGTTTATATGTATATTGTTTTTACATTAAAGGAATTATCAGGAGCAGAGCAGTAATGCAGAAGCAATGTTTGAGAAGGCTGTAAAATTTATTTTAAATATTGCTATACCCATTACAGATGATCTCAAGTATTGTATTTGGTCTAAAATACCTGAAGTGACTTCAACTTCTTCCAATGCATTTGAACCCATTCATTACCTAGATGAAGACGAAGATTCTAATATGAACGCGTATTTTAATAATGAAATGAAGGTTCCTACAATTAAAGATGTTCTTCCAATTTCTATAATAAATTATATGAAGGACCTGGACGCAACAGATTAAACTTATTGTAATTCAAATTATTTGTAATCTTTTTGTTTTTTTGTTTAATAAGCATCTTAAATTAATTATTTCCGTAAAATTCAATTAATTAAATGTATTAAAAATGTTCTACTGAAATTTATGTTAATAAATATAAGTTTTTTAATATATAAACACTCAGCATTAAAAAACTTAAATATAGTTTGTTAGGTAGATATCAAAGATGTCACCACATATTAATTGACTTGATAAATAAAATTAATATCAATAACGCAGTAAACCAGATTTACTCTACTCACACAAGTAGTGATTGCTCAATTCAACGTATATACTTTAAGATAAACAAAAGTCAAAGTGCTAGGTAATGGGACCAAAAACAAAAAATGTGAATAATTCTCCAAATAAAATATTTACAATTGAAGAAGTTAAAACTCAAGCTTAAAAAAATTAGTGGAATCGCTCTGAATAAATATTATTAATATTAAAAGTATATCTATACTCAACAGATAAAGAAATCTGAATTTTTTGCATACAATAAAATTTAATTAAAAGTAAATTATAGTATAGAAATTTTACACAGTTTCAGTCTTTAGGTAAACATGCTGGTATATTGTGGGCCATACTGTGCAGGCAATTGAAATGTACACCAATCATCAAAATATGTACATACCTAATTTTTTAAGAAAGGGTTCAAGAATGACTGCATCATTCCAAACTTCTAAAAGCAAAGCATGTTTTAGTTTGAACCCACAAGAAGCGAAGTTGAGGTTGTATCTAGATAACATTTCTTTTTATGATTTTAATATTTTAAGTATTTTGAACAACTGTGAGATATATGTTTACATTCTAAAAATCAGTGATTATATACTGGTATTTAATGAACTTATAAAGTGATTACTGCCTGGCCAAAAGCTGGTAAAAAATTTCAATATCAAATAAAGTGATATAAGGTATCTTAAAGATATAAGGAATCTTAAATGTAAGGAGTATGGCAACCTGAATATTGCGGAATTACAGATGGGTCTACTGCAAACGAATAATGAGGCTTACTTCATTCTCAAGCAATAGATACATATGTCACATCTCAAGTTATATGAAAGTAGTATAACTGATATTTCACAATCGGTTACAAAATTTACCAAATCTTCTACTACAAATTTCAAATCAATAACGAGTCAACGAATCAACAATGTCGCAGACGCTAAATTAGTCAGCTTAAAAGAATTTGCAACTTTAAATTAGAATAAATATTATATAGTAAATAAATTATAGATACAAGTTCTACCAAAAATTTTATTCATGAAGTTTTGGTAGGCAGGACTGAGTTGAAAGAAAAAGAAAATGTATAACACTGAATTATGTATGTTTATTTTGCCAAACACAAATAGCAGTAAATAAGTAGATTACTTCGGTCATGAATAAGATCTATGACCCAAAATCACTTCATATTCTTCAACTATGATTTTACAGCCTTGGTATCACGTATGGTGCAATCAAAATTTCTGCAGTGTATACACCACACATCATAGTTCGTTGTTGAGGTAAATATAAATAGATATTATAACTCACCACAATTATGATATTATAATGCATAATGAAGGTGAACTACATGTAGATTATAAAAATATTTAGAATATATTCCAAAAATTAAAAATAATAAGGGAAACACAATCTTAAATTTTATTTAATCAATTTTAATAAGTGAATTTAGTTGATATATTGTATACATATGGTTGATTTATTTCAGTATTATATATTTCATAACCGTCTTAAATATATCATAAAATACAACACCACAACGATATTGATATTGACATTGATATAATATATAACAAAATGTTTGCTGAGGTTCATTTCTTTCTAATTCATTTTAAATCGATCCTACTCCATAAAATTTTGATCATGAAACTTTTCACTATAACCGAACCAATAGAAAAATTTACTAAGTGCAGCCAATTGGATTGGCAGATGATTCGTATTGTCACCTAAATTTAATTTTTTTTAATTTATGCTCTCAACGACTATCTTTAGTTCGATCAGACTCTTTTTATATAAAAAAAAAATTTTTTTCAGCACATTTTCTGAGCACATTATCAATAAATCGGCTTCGAAAGCAAATATTAAAAATAAATTTCCCAAAAGGAAAATTAATAAAATTTAATATATATGTCATATGTTTTATATGTAAAATGTAAATAAACAACAGCTGACTTATAACAAACCCACTGAGAAAGTAAGTATTTACAAAAATCTTTGTTTTTTTTAATTGAATATGTGATTGATAAATAAAATGTATATAAATATTATATTATATCAATTATATATTTAATTTTTTTGTGTGATATAGTATTAAGTATAGTTTATAAAGGCTCTATCAGATGCATAAATGAGCTCATTATAATCTGAACGTTAACTCATTATTATATATGAGCAAGTGGCTAAATAGCTTTATTCAACTTTTATATTAGTCTGTTTTGCTTTTCTTTATTATATATAATGTCAATCATCTTCACATAATTTAGAAAATATTTGATTGTATATGTATCTGAACCCTTTTGTATACAATTTTTTTTATATAAGATATTTTGAAATATATAATACAAATAGGTCACTTCGTCTAATACTTTTATGTTGTATTTCAGATATTTTTTCATACCTATCTGCAATATTTTAAAACTAAACACATATATTAAATTACTATATAGTTCACACCTTGTCGTGTTGTTCGAAAGTTTCGTACAATAAAAAGTTTTTTGTTTGAAGTATTTTTCGAACATTATAACGAAGAACATCGGCGTCGTTTTTTCAGGTCGAACATTGTTAACTTCGATATTTGTGAAAGTGTTATTTTGCTTTTGGTGAGTTATTATGTTATTATATTTATATTATAATATTAAAATGTATAATAATAATAAAATATATTGTAATTTTAATATATTCATGAAGTTGTTTGCATATAAGATTATGTTCATTTTTACATAAAATCTGGCTCCAAAGAAATAGCGTAGAGAACAATCTGGAATATGTCAGGCATCTTTAATAAAAATGAACTTCACTTAAGCTTCATAGATCGTCTTTTATAAATATATCTCTTATAACAAAAAATGTATTTATTTCATATGAAATCGACTATGATAGTTTACTTGTCTATATATAGACTTTCCAATAAGTCACATATACATTTATACTTTCTGCATATGTATGTATATAGAAAGATTTAATAATCAATTTTTTTAACATTAATGAAAAATTCCTGTGTCAATAAAGATTTATCTTGTTTTTCAGATAATAAATACAAGTTAAGATTGTTGAAAAGATGGAAAATAAAAATAAGATGTCTTTTGCACATAAATTATGGTATTTAGCTAATAAGGAAGATGTTTTATGTGTCGTATGGGTCAAAAATGAGGATGCCATACGTCTGAACATGATTCTTTTGGAAAAGTACTTATGTTCTGAAGACTCAATATTTTCTATTAAAACAGCAAGTCATTTTGCTAAATACCTTGTATGCTATGGTTTCATAAGTGTGATAACGAAAAGTGATCCATTTGGCCAGAATATTATTATTAAGCATAAGAATTTTACACGAGATGGAAAAAAACTTGACTTAATAACTAACTCATGTAGTAAGAAAAATATAGTAGATTGTGAGCGACATAATTTGCACAACGACTTTGGAGAGTTTTCAATGCGTCCATTCGTTCCAAACGAATTTCAAGGCGATGACACCATCCCATGCCAGTTTTCGGAAGAACAACTGAAGGAATTTTTTGGAGACGATTACTCAAAAGTACAAAAAAACGAAATAAAAATAAGTTCTAAACAAATGTAAGTTTAAAAAAATTTTTTTTTTTGTTTTTATTGTAATAATTATATCGTTTTTTTTTGTAATAAAAATAATAATATAATTGTGTCATTAACGTATACTGCAGATAAAAAAAACAGTTACCGTTAAAGACATCGAAAGTTTTCTCAACGACTGAATCAACACAGCGGATAAAGAAATAGTTGTCGTTGAAGAAAAATACGAGAATCACTTCAATGATGGGATGAATAATATGGATATAGAAGAAAAACTAGTAGATACAATTACAGTCCTCTTCCACCTCTTCTCAAAGATCATGCATGTATTGGTACAATTGTTTTCGCGAACAGCATGGAAAAAGAAACAAATCGCGTTATAGTAGATTTTATTGATATGAGTATTAAGGATGCAATGCATCCTGTGGAAAAAGAGAACAAACCTATGGCCTATCGTGGGAGAGATAATCGAGAGTTTTAAAAACGATTATTACAGTGTAAATTATCAT